GTGTTCTGAGTATTATACTTCCAGCCATGCAGCCTAATGCCATGTTGCTTCTCTGGCACTACTTTCTAGTGACTCACAACAAACTCGCTCAAAACTCTAAATCTCTTTGTCTTTCTGGCAAATATCAAGTAAGTCTGTTCCTCCTTACGCTTTGGCATTTTTTTGCTTTTTAAGTCGGAGTTTCGCTCTGTCACCCAGGCTGGAGTACAGTGGCGTGATCTCGGCTCACTGCAACCTCCGCCTCCCAGGTTCAAGTGATTCTCCTGCCTCGGCCTTCTGACTGGCTGAGATTACAGGCATGCACCACTGCGCCCAGACAGTTTTTGTATTTTTAGTAGAGACAGTGTTTCCCATGTTGGTCAGCTTGTCTCGAACTCGTGACCTCAAGATCTGCCCGGCTTGGCCTCCCAAAGTGCTGGGAATACAGGCATGAGCCACCGCACCTGGCCTACTTAGGCGTTTTTTAAGTGATAAAGTACAAAACTTTACTTTTTGTTATGCTATATTTTATCTTATTTTTGGCCTATCTTTCCAACCTACTCAGTTCTTGAAATTTTTTTGGTTCTAAAAACGAATGTGTCATTTTTCTGGTTTTCGATTATAGAGACTCAAACTTTCAAAAAGCTCCTTCATTTTACTTCTCAGCTTTGCAGCACTGGGCCATGTCATTTAAGGAAACACCTTATATCTCACAAGAGGCCTTCTAGAACTGTAGTCATCTGCTGAATTTCCAAGACCCAGAGACTAATCCTCACAGGGTCAATAAAACAATCCATTAATGAACAGAGTCATCTCGAGAGTCACTTTCAAAGAACTGAACCATTGGATTAAAACCAAAACACGGATTCGACAATCTTAAGTGAAAATTGTAACCGCAGAGACCAGGAGATATTAGAACCCTGGGGCCAATGTGTGTGTCCCTCCCACAATCCCCACAAATAAGCCATGTTGGAAACTGATATAAACCAATGGGACCCAGACATGGAATCATTTGTTCAGTGCATTCTTTCCATGTAGCCGCACCACACAGGAAGCCAAGCTGTGATCCACTGTTTAGTGAGCAAAGATCAAAGCAACTGGTCATCTAACATGTATTTAACATCAGGTTAATTTTGTCTTGTGTACCGTTCTTTACAACCTTATACTTGACGACAAAACGGTACCGAGAATACTCCAGGTGCTCCTTAAACATCATTGAAAGCTGCCTCACGTTCATGACTAACCAACTCCCTTCCTGCAATCCCACTTTTTTTTTTTTTTTTTTTTTTTGAGACCGAGTTTCGCTCGTTACCCAGGCTGGAGCGCAATGGCGCGATCTCGGCTCACCGCAACCTCCGCCTCCTGGGTTCAGGCAATTCTCCTACCTCAGCCTCCTGAGTAGCTGGGATTACAGGCAGGTGCCACCATGCCCAGCTAATTTTTTTGTATTTTTTTTTAGTAGAGACGGGGTTTCACCATGTTGACCAGGATGGTCTCGATCTCTTGACCTCGTGATCCACCTGCCTCGGCCTCCCAAAGTGCTGGGATTACAGGCTTGAGCCACAGTGCCCGGCCAATCCCACTTCTTAATGAGATGTACTAGAATTCCGCCAGGCCGACTCAGCTGGCCTGGAGGTCGTTATTCTGTCCTACAGGTTCTGGAGTCGCACTGGTTGAACTCAAGGCCAAGCTCTATTGCCTTCTTTTCTAATTGTGTGATCTTCCAACAAGTGACTTATCTTTTATAAACCTCAACACATAATAAGTTACCTATCTTTTCTAAACCTCAGTATTAGTTTCACTATAGCCGATGCAACAAATTACCACACTTTTCAGTGGCTTAAACTAACACAAATCTATTATAGTTCTATGGACTAAATGAAGGTGCCAGAAGGGCCGAGTTTCTTCTGGAGACTCTAGAAGAGAATCCACTCTCTGGCCTTTTCCAGCTTCTAAGGACCACATATATTCATTGTCTTGTGGCCCCTTCCTCCGCCTTCCAAGCTAGTGGTGTAACATCTTCAAACCACCTGACCACTCTGCCTCTCTCTTTCACTTGGGAGGCTCCTTGGGGCTACATCAGGCCCACCCACCCAGATAATCCTGGATAACTACTTCATCCCCAAATCCTTAATCACATCTGCAAGTCCCCCTGCAATGTGAAGTGACATATTTATAGGTCTGAGGATTGGAATGTGGACACTGGGGGACACCGTTACTGTGCCCACCCCAGAGCTATTACGGTCTAGTTTTAACACTGATCTGATGTTAACCAGTTGAAATTTAATGAAGCGATACAATTTTGGCTTAAAATTTTAATACTGTTACCTAAGGAGGACATGGCTATTTTAATGCATCGTTCACACTAAAATTAGACTGCTTTTCTCGATTTCAGCTTTCACGTAAAATGACACGCATTTGATTTATCAGTGGAGGGAAAGAGAAGAGTTAAGCAATCCAAGTCTTTAAGGCTTTACCAATTAATATAGGACTAATTAAACAACAAATTAGCTAGAAGGAAGTTAATATGTAAAAGAGCATCTGAATGTTTGGTTGAGCTTTTTCTATTACAGACAGGAAACCACACTGTTCTGGTTTTCACCTTACCCCACTGGCCAGACCTTTGCACTCCCTTTTGCTGGATTCTTTTCTGGTTGACCTCCAAAGCTCCAGCGCTCCCAGGCTCAGTTCCCAGGCCTGCCTGTCTACACTCACTCCTGTGGGAAAGTAATTCAATCGCAGGACTTTGCCACCTGTGCTGATGCTCCAGATTTGATAGGTCTTAATCAGATCCCTGAACTCCTGTCTCCATCACAACTGCCTACTTGATAGCCTGTCTCAAATGTCAAACAGGTATCTGCATATTCAAAATCAAATTCCTGATCTTCCCGATGACTGCAGCCTGGTGGAATTCTAGTGTTACATCTCATTAAGTGGAATTGTAGGAAAGGAGTTGGTTAGTCATGAAAGTGAGGCAGTTTTCAGTGACACTTATCTGAGTACCACCTAGAGTACCCTTAGTACTCTACTGTCCTAGAGTATAATCCTCTTGTAGAGAATGATACACAACATGACACTACCCTGATGCTGTTAAATGGCTATTCATTAAATAGCTATTCCATCCCATTATAAAACTTAGCATCATACTTTCCAACTTTCTCTCACATCCACTGTCCATCAGCTGACCAAATTAGCCCAACCTTCAAAATATATTCAGAATCTGATCACTTCCCATCACCTCCACTGTTACCACCATCATCTCTTGCTTTGGTCACTGCTGATCTCCTTCTATCCTCATTCCCTGGTTTGTTTAACAGAACAGCCAGAAAGTCTTTTTTTCAGAAGAATTAAGATTTTTGTTTGTTCTGTTCTCTCTTTTAAACTGAGGTGAAACATGCATATACTGCAATTAAGCAGATCTTAGGCTTTGATTCAATGACAGATTGAATCGAAGATGCATCCATGTAATCAAGACCTCCATCAAGACAATACTTGCAACTTCGGGCTATGATAAATAAAGGAGTTTCTTCCAGAGTGATGAAAACACTTTGGAACTAGACAGAGGTGATGGCTGCTCAAAATTGTAATCGTACTCTTACATGCCACTGAATTGTTCATTTTACAATGGTTAATTGTATGTTAAATGAATTTCATCTCAAAAGACTCTTTCTTTATTTCTGTGAAAAAATATCCCAGGTATAAAAAGCTAAAAGGTTTATCACTGCAGTCGTATCATTGCAGGAGTCAGGTACTTAAGTGACTTTTCAGTTTTACTGATGGTACTTAACAACAACAACAAAAAATCTTACCACTAAACGTTTCTTGGGTGGTTCACCCTTGGCTTTAAATGTTATCAAACAGTGGAGAGCTGCTGTCCACTTCCACAGAAGGACCACTAGATGCCCATCTTCAAGAGTCAGTAACTAACTCTAGAACCCAATGAGACTATTCATGGCACACGAACAGTCTCAGAATACCATGTACTGTTAGGAAGACATTTCTTAAGAGATTATATACACGTAGTGCCACATGCCTTATACATTATAAAACCTTCATTCTACCAGAATTTTAATTCATCCCAAATCTATAATTTAAGGATTTGCATTTGCATCTAATTTTTAAAATTGATGTGGGAAAGAGGACAAGGAAACAGGACAGAGCATCTTTTTCACCTAGACAGGCCAACTGTCTTTAAAGCATGATCCTTTCCATTTTCTGCCAGTTCACAATAAACGTGTGAAGACAATTCAATCTTTACTTTTTTAAAAACCAATCTCAGCTGCTTGATATATAACAAGAAATGAGGAAAAAGGATATCTGAGGTACAAAGCTCAAGTGTCAATCTGAATTCTTCGTTCCAGATTGAATGGGAAATCCCTATCACATTTCTTACAGAAGAGGTCTGACAATAAAGTACTGAAATTCATTCTCCAAAGCCACGGAAAGGTAATCTCATTACATATTCAAAACACACACTTCTGAAAAGACAGTAGGTCCTTTTCATTCTAGAACTAGACAGTATGTAGCATTTAAGGAAGTTAAGTAACACTATGAGTGGCTGGTTGTATGTATGTATTTAGGGTTATTAAGATGTTTGCATTTAGTTTACAGTTTAATTTTGTTAATGCTTCCAAAATGATAAGATTTTTCAGCGAATTGTTAAAATTCAGTTCCTCTTCACTTACTGGTCAAGACCTAAGTTTGGGATTGTTATGTTTTTCCAAAGCACACATGTTTTATCACTGTATCTACACTAAGCCATGTAGTAGTGTGGTGGGTCTTTATTCATCCACTCTCCTTGGAACCACCAGGATCAGGGGCGAGAACCGGGACATGCGTGTTACACACAGACAGTTCAATAGATAGAGACAACAAAAGAAAGAAAGGTTCATTAAAAGTCTGCACCCAAGTGCTGCGGTCTCTGCAGACTTTCTTAGGCTGCCTACTATGGCTAAGACTTGGCCTTTGCTCCCTGGCTTTTTTTTTTTTTTTTTAAGTCACTAACCCCACTTAAGGATGACATGAAAGGCCACTCAAGGGCTGACATCTCCTTCAGACGAAAGGTACAGATTGGGGACCTTCCATCACGAACCAAGAGATATGCTGACCAAATGAGAAGTACCACGGACACCACACAGGAGGCCTTTGTAAAGAACACTGGGTTCACGTGTGTACACACCTCCCAGAATCAACGCAGAGCTTCAGGACCGCAGTCCTTTAAGGATATGCCACCTGACTGCAGCAGAGGTAACAGTACCCTTGTGGAGCAAAAAATATGCCAAATGGTGGATTTCATAGTCAAACTACCTGAATTCCGAGCAGAAGACCAAGAAATGATGTCATGACATCACATGCAACATAAGCACGTTTCATAAATCGCTAGTTACATAACTAAGGACCCTGTTTAGAGATTCTGTTCAGGGGGGATTTCTCTTCTAGCTGTGGATGGTAATCCTTGTTCACAGTTATAATAATCTCCATGAAAAAAACACTCTAAATACTTGGCATTGTATTGAATTCAGCATTTGTACACTCTGGTTCGTGTCAGTCAACCTCTTCCATTTTCCATAGCTTTATAGTTCCCAGCCTTTTTCTTTATTTGTTACACAGATGATTCAATTGTATCCTATTTCTGTTTCTTTTTTAGTTCTTAATCTGGATTATGCCTCTTTAGCTTTCTACGTGGAAATGTGTGTGAATTTAGGAACTGAAATTTACTGGAAAGATGTAAGACACAGAAAGAGTAATTAACGCAGACATCATGATGGAAATCATTTTCCTGAGTTTTTCTTTCTTTATGATGTTAAAGAAGAAAATTCCTTAGAAACATACTTAAACTTCAAGATGCAAGTAAATCGAATTTTTTTAAAAAATATTTCTGAATGGCTGAAAAGCATAAAATTCAAAAGGTAAACAAAGGTACACAACAAAAAGTCTTCCTTTCATCCTTGCCATTAGCTGCCAGTCCTCTTCCCCTGAAGTAGCCAATGTTGTCTGCCTATCCTATTACACAGTCATGCAACACGTAACAACATTCTGGTCAATGACAGACCACATATCTAATGGTGGTCCCATAGGATTATTCATACCATATTTTTATGATATTTTTCTATGTTTAGATATGTTAGATACCCAAATACTTACCTTTGCATCACAACTGCCCACTATATTCAGTACAGTAACATGCTGTACAGCCTAGGAGCAACAGGCTGTACCGGACAGTGCAGGTGTGCAGTAGACTATACTATCTAGGTTTGCATATGTCATTCCATGATGTAAACACAAGACTGCCTAACTATACATTTCTCAGAGCATTATTGTTAAGTGATACATGACTGTGTATGTTTTTTCCCTAGTGCTGCTGGCCCAAAGAGCCATCCATATCTTCTCTGCATTCTGTGCTCTGAGAAAGTGAGTCTCAAACTTCAGCACTGCTGGACTCCAGTGCCCCAAGATTCTGATCCAGGAGGTCTGGTGTAGGGCCCTAAAATTTGCATTCCTAACAAACTCCCAAGCATGCCAGGCCCACACTTTGAAAAGCTCTGATCTAATAAAATCAAGTCATCAATCGTCTTTGAGACAAGATATCCTCAGAATCAAAGTGAATGCATCACAGTCACAGATGGTACTTACAGAGCTACTGTCTAAACAACAACAGCATTCTGCAGTTTGTACTAGTTTCCTCTCAACCAAACCTAAGTAACTTTTTCTTTCTTTTTTTTAAAAAAGACAGTCTTTCTCTGTCACCCAAGTTGGAATGCAGTGGCATGATCCTGGCTCACTGCAACCTCCGCATCCTGGGATCAAGCAATTCTCCTGCCTCACCTGGGATTATAGGCACCCACCACTGTGCCCTCCTAATTTTTGTATTTTTAATAGAGATGGTGTTTCACTATGCTGGACAGGCTGGTCTCCAACTCCTGGCCTCAAGTGATCCGCCCACCTCAACCTCCCAAAGTGCTGGGAAGACAGGCATGAGCCGCCATGCCTGGCCAACTTTCTTACTTAAAGCTCTCTGTCATACCTGGTAATGGTCTAATCGTCAACTTTCACTTTCTTCATACTCGCTTTGTCCCTTCATTCGTATACACACACACACACACACACACACACACACACACACACCCCATTTTTTTTTCTTGGAGGACATTTTTTTTTATTAGTTTCTTTTCACCCATAATGTTTTGTATGATATGCAAAGGAAAAAAAAAATCTTCCAGTGGAGATGCCAGAAATAAATGCCCTGAGGACAGAAGTTGTTCTTCAAGTTAGGCTAAAAAAGATACAAGTAAAAAAAGAAGAGTTAAAAGTAAATTTACCCATTTTTGAGGTCAAAAACCTCTGTTAAGAAAAATGGCAAGAATAAATTCACTTGGTATCTAATGTTACACTGAGGAGACAGTTAGTTTCAAGTTGTACTGCAAGGCAAACATATGAATATCGTTGGCTTCAAACACAAATGTAAAAGGGAGAGGGCTACCAGAAACTGAAATTTAAATGCACATTTATGAAAAGCTTATCAATTTCACGCATCAGAACTACAGTACCCGAGTATCATCACTGCTCTGTTTGTAACCAGCTAGAATCACATTTTGACAGATCTATAAAAACATGGCATCAACTTCACACCAGGCCCTGCTTTGTGAGAGGCAAGGTAGGGCCTCTGAGCTGGGGCACAGTGTGTGAACAATAGCCTTCAGATCTGCCTCCTGGAGAGAGGGCAAAAACTAGGAGGAGACTAATCCCTCCTAAGGAACGTCCTCCAAGACCTTTATCAGAATATGGACCCTGAGCTGGAGGGAATGGTGTCTCTCTCAGAGTACACTCTCCAAGGAGACTGAAAAAGGAATAAATGCTAATACAGTACAGGCTGGGACTCAGCGAAGAATTGTATGTCTAAGAATAGACTAACCTTTGCTGGGAAAAGCATGCTGGCAGGGCTATACCTCCTTCTTTGGAAATAGTGAGGTAGGTGAAACAGCCTAGGTCCAAAACCCACCCTGTCCTCAATAGCCTGATTCCTTTTAACACCACTGTTACTTCCCTAAGAAATGTCAGGTCTTACAACCACCCCACACCCAAAACATAATTAACTCTCTGCTTTCCATTATATCATAGACCTACTCAGATCATATCATCTCCCACTAAAACCCAGCAAGCCTTCCTCTCATTTACGGAATAGAGTCTAAACCCCATGACTTCGCCTATGCTGCTATTCATGACCCGGTCTCTAAACTTTTTTGATCTGACCTTCTACCAAATAGCTTCATCCTGCAATTAGTTGCAATTCTGCTAAAGCAGGCGTCCCCAAACTTTTTACACAGGGGGCCAGTTCACTGTCCCTCAGACCGTTGGAGGGCCACCACATACTGTGCTCCTCTCACTGACCTCCAATGAAAGAGGTGCCCCTTTCTGAAGTGCGGCGGGGGGCCGGATAAATGGCCTCAGGGGGCCGCATGCGGCCCGTGAGCCGTAGTTTGGGGACGCCTGCGCTAAAGCATCCTTCAGGCCCACAGCCCTAAGCCTCAGCACATGTTGCTGTTCTATATAAATGGCCTTCATCACCACACCCTAGTTCCTGGTTCATGTGGAGAACACTCACACTCTACATTCGAAACAACCAGGCTTCCCTTCATGGCACCTTCCTTGCCCACCACCCCTACCCTCTCCTCTATGTCCCCAAGCAACCCTTTCCCACCTCTTTCACAGCACTGATCACAGTGTGTGTCACTGCTCTCCACCTAAATTACCTCCTTTTCCATACCCTAGCCCAATTCCTTAAGGGCCTGGAAAACAAAGACTCCTCTCTCATGTACCTTTGGCCAAGATTAGCAAAAATTAAAATATTAGCAAAGATACAGAGAAATGGGTAGCATCATACACTGTTGGACAACTTTGCGTTGACTACTCTGAGGGGAAACACTGTCCACCTGACAATCCCATGCACTCACTTCTGTCTCCTAGGCACAGTGGTAGGCATTCAATGGGTACCATATGAATGTGTGGAATAACATCCTCATTTGTTAGATTTTCAGCGAACTGAAACAGAAAACTTGCATTTCATATATTTTTATATTTTTTGAAAAGAGTTTGGATGGTCCATTTCACTGTGAGTGGGAATGTAAACTGGTACGACTGTTTATGAAGGCTATTTGAATACACACACACACACACACACACACACACACACACACACACACACACACTCTGCCCCAACACAAATTAACCTATTAGGGAAATAATCATGGGCAACACAATATTAACAAAATTGTCTGCTGTAGTGTCATTTATAACAATAAGAATTAGAAAAAGTCTAAATGACCCATAATAGATCCTTAGGTTGTACTAATTAAACTACAGTACAACCACAATAAAAATGCTATGAAACCATAGAAAAGTATGTCATAGAATGAGATGTAATGATACAGAAAGATATTTCCACTACACTCTGCTAAAGTGAAAAGGCTGACTACAAACTTTGATTGTATTTGTTTGTTTCTTTAAAGTACATGCATAGAAAAAGCACTAATATTTTTAATTGACAAAAATATTAAGTTTCTACCATCCTATAATTTAGAATCTCCCCCATGATAGACAGCATAAAGTTACTAAAAGTTAATCATGATTACAGTTTAATATTGCTATCTTTGAATATCATTATAACAATTAGGACTTAAAGACCCAAAGAAGGACGGTTTGCCTAATCAGGTATCAAACTATATTTTAAAATTACATTAACTAAAATAGTGTGGTATGAACAGAGGAATAGATAAGTGATTAATTCATGAAAAAATGTCTGAAAACATGTACATATGTAATTTCTGAGGGAGAATTTCAAATAAAAGAAAAAATAGGAAAAGATTAAAAAAAAAAAAACACCATACAGAAAAAAATTTCTTATGAATTCAAGACCTAAACACTTAAAGAATAAAAGGAAGGCTTTAAACAAACGTACAGAAAAGTACATTTTTAAAAGCAGAAAATTTCTCCCAAAATGCAAAAACCACTTAAAAAAGGCTGATAACATTTTAAAGGAATAGATTTATATATTGCCTATACAACTCAAAGTTACCAGTGTTTCAACAATTCTAACGGGCATTTTTAAACCTATGGAATGGAGATGTTTCTTACAATAGATGGCACCTTATAAATTATTGCCATCTTTTTTTCTTTCTTAGAATATAAAACCAGGGCATCCCACCACCAAAAGTATCTGCGAGCAAATGAAAGAGGGTAAAAAAGCTTTATGTATGGGACTTAGACGTGAATTTCCTCCATTACTACAGACTAAATGTTTATGTCTTTCAAAAATTCCCACATTGAAGCCCTAACCCCCAATGTGATGGTACTTGGACATAGGGCCTTTAGAAGGTTATCAACGAGGCCAGGAGAATGGAAGCCTCGTGAGTGGGATTAGGACTCTATCAGTAGAGACAAGAGATGATCTCTCTACCAGGTGAAGAGGTCAAGTCTTCCTGGACCAGGAGCCAAATCGGCTGGCACCTGAATCTTGGACTTCTCAGACTTCAGAACTATAAGAAAGACACTTCCATTGTTTAAGCCACCCAGGCCATGATATTTCTGTTATAGAAGCCCTAACTAAGATACCCACATAGGGAACATCTACACACAGTATGGTTACAGGTTTCATCATTTCTTTTCCTTTTTGCATATTTGTAATTGCCTCAGTTTTCTAAAATGACCTACCACATGGATTCTTTTAAAAGAAATAAATGGTAAATATGAAATAGACCACCACCTTCCCCTCTGACATTTCTGAAACTAGAGCATGCGTGATTAACCTTGCTGCCAGCTCCAGTCCATCCATCCATCAGCATACCAAAACATATGGCTGTAGAGAGTGGAGAAGAGCTGTATGTGGTAAGGAAAATGGGAGAGAGGAATTCCAGAAGTGTCTACTGAAGCAGTGGTTTAAGTTTTAATTCCTTCAAGAAATCAATACATGTCAGAGAATTAAGTGAGAAAAAGAAAACAACTGTAAAAAATACAAAGGAATCCAGGATAATAGAAATCTTTCTTCATTCACATATTCTAGCTAGAACAGTGAGAAGAAATTCTCTCTCAAAAGTGATGGTCCCTCACATCTTAAGCCTTCAAGGAAGTCTTTTCTGAGAAGAATATCTCTGCTACACTAACCTAGAAGAGGGCCAGACAACTGCTGCCATACACCCCTCACCCCAGTGTTGTGGAAGAAAAAGACATCAGGGATTTCTCTTTAGAACCTGCTCTTCTACACCAAATGAACTCGGGAGAATGAACGGAAACACGGTTCCATGGTGTGAGTGATGCGATATGAAACACAAGCAGCAGAGAGTCTGCAGAAGAAGCTACTCCCCTGATATAGGAATGAAGAAAACCAGTTGGCTCTGAATTGAATCCCACTCTGGTCCTTTTTCTCTTTACCATTTCCCCTTAAACCTCAGGCTTTCTGAGCTGCACCATAATTCTAAGATCTTCAATCAATTAAGGAAAATGAGGAAATAGTGGAACAAGACTGATAGGTTAAACTAAAGAGTAAGACTTAAGTCCAAAATCCTATTTTGTTACACAACTCCCCCTTGACCACAGAAAACCCACCAAGCTCATTCTAATGTTCTGATGAAGCTGTCAGCAACCTTCTACTTTTGAAGACACCAGAGCAGAAAGGTGGGCTCCTCCATCACTGTATTTAGTGAAAACCACATTCTTAGGGAGAATGCTTGCCTCTAGCTTGGAATCTGACTACATGTCATAAGCACCTGTTCAAACCTGACTTTAAGACCCATTCTGGAAAGATTTTATAAATACAAAGATCATATGGAGATCCTGGAGGTACTTCAACAAAGCATCCCCTACGAGGACACACGTGTGATGTCTCACGCTGAAATGTTAGCAGATGATAAGGCTCTCCTACCATCTTCTCCCATTAGTCTGAATAACTCTGAGTTAGAACCACCTTATGAGGGAATAGGACCCTGGTCAAGCATCTGCTATAAAGAAACATCACATTTTATGAGCAAGTTTCTAGCTGTTGACAAGTATCATTCAATATAGCACACCACAGGTACCCAATCTGCTAGTGAACAAGTGCTGTGATTTAATGTCTTTCTCTACTATTGGCTCTCAGATGATTTGCCTGTATTCGTCTTCCATTCTATATTTGATTTCAGATTCTTACTAAAATAATTAAGTGGAGAAAGTGTTAAGAAGCTGAATTGCCTCTTACTTAGTTTTAATCCTCCCTCCTGGGCCTTCCCCAACTATATGCAACAAAGGTGGTAATCAGTTTTTTAAAACATCAAAACCCCAATATTCTTACAACCAAGGGGTCTTCAGCTTGATGAAAATGAGGAGATTATGACTCCTATAGCCAGAAGAACAGTTAAATTGCCAGTCCTCTGAATTTTCACAAAATAACTAATGTTACTGGAAGTGTTATATACTCTCTAAATAGGCAAACTATCTAAAACAAAAACTTATGTTCGAAAGCCAGAATATTTTTACAATGAAGTATCTGGACCACTTCATCAGCAGATAATAAAAAAAAACCTGACCTCAAGATGAAATTTTCAATAATATTCATATTCACTAATACATAGTTTGCTAGCTGCCACGTTCAGGATAATTTTCAGTTATTTGTTAGGAATTTAAAAAGGCAATTAGTTCTCTAACCCACTCTATGTTAATTTCACAATAAAACCATTAACCTTTAATATTAGATGCAAACTGTAAAGCTCTACTGAGCAATTTTACTCTCTTGGCCTTCATGACAAGGCTGTTATTTTAAAAAAGATTCTTTCCTCCACGAAAAAAGATACAATTCTTCACTTTTCTGTACAAAATTAAAATTTTCTTTAAATGAAATATAAAAACAGAATAAGTAGCAAAATCCAAACTCATAGATATCATTTCCAACGTAACTCAAAGAATCCTCTTCTCCACGGCACAGGCAGGTAGGGAGGCAGGGACTAGGCCCCAGCTGTCGCAGCCCCTGGCACCAGCCACTGTGCAGGAGGCATGGGCTCTCGGGAAGGGAGAACCCGCAACAGCCTCGGGCGTTCACTGAAAAGCATGGCAGACCCATTTCTCACCAGTAGCTGCTACGAGGAGGAGTCTGTCCGCTCCATAGAGGCAGGGAGTGCGACCCTAGGGACAGGACAAGTCCCGCCTCCAGGAACTCATGAAACATGCTCCAGGGTCTCGCAATGAGGAGAAAGCGCTGGGAGTGGATTGAAAAAATGAGCAAAACAGAGACAAAGAAAAGCAAAGCCAGGTAAAACTGGGAGGGGGAGGCAGGAAATCTCAGAGAGCAAGCTCCCTGCACAAAAAGCACAGCCGAAAGAACTGTAACAGTGCAGTGTCCGCCTCTCTGAAGCCTCCTAGCAGTTGAGAAGCACCATGAGCACTGAGGTCAGACCCCACACAAAGTTACAAGAGAAAGGCTGAAGCAGCAAAATCCCCATAGACAAGGAAAGCACACTGAAGAAAGCACAATTCAAAATGAGCTAGAACATGTTAAAATGATACAAGGCATGAAAGAAGGCAAGTCAGAATGGTTTCCTTTTTAAAGTTCAAAAAAACAGGTAAAACTCTACGAAGTACAAATAAAAGAGAAACTCATTTTATACATAAGATTACATAGAAGACAAGAACACATAAACAAAAAAAAAGGCTTTAAGTCAAACAGGCGACTCAAATAACAAATTTTTTTAAATAAGAGATAATGAAGAGATAAAAAGAATGCAAGAGAAGGAATAAATACCAAAGACAGCCAAAGAAGATCTAACAGTTAACAGGAGTGTCCGACTATAAAGCAGCAGAAGCAATGGAGCAGGACAAATACTCAAGACTCTAATCCAAGAGTTTTCTGAATGAAAAATGATCTGAAGCTGATACTGACAGAACATACCACCTCCCTAAGACTATCAACCACAAATGGCTATCACGCGATCTAAGAAAAAGTCCTTTGGGCATCGAGGCAGAAAGACCGCATGACTTACAGAGAAAAATATCACCAGACATTTCCAGCAACAGTTTATGCCAGAAGGAAACAGGAAACATATTTAAGACACGTAAGGAAACAAAATGCAAGCCAATAATGTTATCTCTACGTAAAGTGACCTTTTTGAGACCAGCCTGGCAAATACGGTGAAACCCTGTCTCTACTAAAAACACAAAAATTAGCCTGGTGCGATGGCAGGCACCTGTAGTCCCAGCTACTTGGGAAGCTGGGGCAGGAGAACCAATGGAAACCGGGAGGAAGAGGTTGCTGCGAGCCAAGATCATCCATTGCACTCCAGCCCGGACAACAGAGCTAGACTGTGTCTCAAAAAAAAGAAAAAAAAAAAAAAAAAAGAAAAAGAAATCCAGAGACATATATGAAAGACTGCTACAAGTATAAACTGATTACACAGTTACTTGCAGAACCAAGTTAAAATGAGAGTTAAGAGGCAGAAATTATAACACGTAATGGCTAAATGCTATGTTGACATAGTACAACAGTTAAACTGGGAAGAGCAGATGCAAAAGACTGTAACTGTACTGAGTAGTCAAAATGGAAGTTGCAAATACTAGCCCTGTTACTCAGAGACTTCCTACTTGTATTGTGGAACAAAGCAAATAGGTAATTCTAAGATAGTCTATCATCACTTGTTATGCACTGAATATGTCCCTCCAATATTCCTATGTTGAAACACGAATCCCCAGTGCCCTCACACTAGGAGACAGGGTCCTTGGGAGGTAATTAGGTTTAGATGAGGTCATGAGGGTAGAGACCCCATGATGGGATTTGTGGCCTCACAAGCAGCTTTAACTAAGACACCATGTGAAGCTGGAAGCCAGAATTCTCGGTGTAGAAAACAGAAAATAGATCTGTAATACATAAGAGATAATGCAAACATCCTGCAGTCCTTAGAGGAAAGGTGGCTTGCAAAAAGTAACAAGACAGACATGTACTTTGATGGGGAACCCAGTTCTGAGGACTGCCAGACCAGTGCTCTTGCTTCAATATCGGGCTCCAGTTGGTTATGTCAGACAGCTCCACAGCTCTCCCCCAGTATGAGCGATGGTGTGCCCATTATCAGGAGTGGAACAGCAGCTCCTGATGGGAGCTTACCCCTCTCCTTAGCCCCTGACTGGTAACTCTAGTCACACTCTCAAGAGGATAACAGCTGACATGAAAAAGAACAAGGAGTATAACCAACGTATGTCGCTCGAAGGCAGGACAGTAATTACCTTTGGTGCAGAGGGGAGCAGGGAGTGACTGGAGAGGGGTCTGGGGTGCTGGTGACATTTTGTTTCTTGATCTGGTAGCTAGTTAAAGGAATGTCACCAAATTGTCACTCTGAAAATTCTCTAAGCTGGACACGTAAGATTTGTGCATTCTTCTGTTTATATACTATATACTTACAAAAAAAAAAAAAAAAAAAAAGGAAACACCAAAACAAGTTGTTCTGAATTTTAAGTAAAAATATCACTATGAACTCAAGACATTTTATTTTTACACACACATAAATTTCAGCCCCTTCTACTGGGAAGGCACAGAAGCAATGATAAACCCAGTAACAATCTGCATCCAGCATCTATAGTGAGGTCTTGAAGCATCATTTCCAATTAAATAAAACCAAGACTTCTTTGAAAATGGCTGATTCTAGGCCTGGGCAAGAAATGTAAACAATGAACCTGAAACATCTTGACATACCAGACAGCAAGAAAGTTATCAAAGGCTTATAAAGTCTGATCAAAAGGACTTAGCAGTCAATTCAAGGAGACTCCCTTTGGAGAACTGATACAGTGTGGATGTTCATCCCCTTCAAATCTCATGCTGAAATGTAATCACTAGTGTTGCAAGTGGGGCCTTGTGGGAGGTGTTTGGATCATGGGGGCAGATCCCTCATGAATAGCTTAATGCCGTCTCCTCGGTGATGAGTCAGTTATTGCTCTGAGTTCACACGATCTGGTTGCCTACAAGTATGTGGCACCCCTACTTCTTGCTCCTGTTCTTGCCATGTGAGATGCCTTCACCTTCCACCATGACTGGAAGATTCCTGGGGCCCTCATCAGAAGCAGATGCTGGCGCCATGCTTCTTGGACAGCCTGCAGAACTATGAGCCAATTAAACCTCTTTTCTTTATAAATACTCCATCTCAGGTACTCCTTTATAGCAACACAAGAGCAGCCTAATACATCAATGATGGAACAATGTGAGCTTCAGTGAGGATGAGAATGACACTGAATTGTAACTTGTCAACTATACTGAAAGCTCTGGGATCAAAAGCTTTTTGTTTGTTTGTTTGTTTGTTTGTTTGTTTGTTTTTAAAGAAAAGAAATGGGCAGGGCACGGTGGCTCACGCCTGTAATCCCAGCACTTTGGGAGGCCGAGGCAGGCGGATCACGAAGTCAAGAGATCGAGACCATCCTGGTCAACATGGTGAAACTCCGTCTCTACTAAAAATACAAAACATTAGCTGGGCATGGTGGCGCATGCCTGTAGTCCCAGCTACTCGGGAGGCTGAGGCAGGAGAATTGCCTGAACCCAGGAGGCGGAGGTTGCGGTGAGCCGAGATCGCACCATTGCACTCCAGCCTGGGTAACAAGAGTGAAACTCCGTCTCAAAAAAAAAGAAAAGAAAAGAAAAGAAAAGAAAAGAAAAGAAATGAACTGGTCACTTTCTAAGGATGAGAAGAAATCAATTCATTATTCTAAAAGCTGTGTAAATAAGAGGGAAGAATCAAATCTTTATCTTGACTTTCCTAAATAAATTCAACAACCAAATAGTAGATGAGAAGCATCTTCTTTTTTTTTTTTTTTTTTTTTTTGAGACCGAGTTTCGCTCTTGTTACCCAGGCTGGAGTGCAATGGTGCGATCTCGGCTCTCGGCAACCTCCGCCTCCTGGGTTCAGGCAATTCTCCTGCCTCAGCCTCCTGAGTAGCTGAGATTATAGGCACGCGCCACCATGCCCAACTAATTTTTTGTATTTTTAGTAGAGACGGGGTTTCACCATGTTGACCGGGATGGTCTCAATCTCCTGACCTCGTGCTCCACCCGCCTCGGCCTCCCAAAGTGCTGGGATTACAGGCGTGAGCCACCATGGCCAGCCAAGAAGCATCTTCTTATACAATTATTCCAGTTAATAAAAACAGAATGACAAAATCAATTATCACCATTTTACAATCCCTAAAAAATTAATAAATCTAGGCACTGAGTATCAGTAGCTAACATCCAAAAGAGAAAGAGAGAGAGAGAGAGAGGGAGGGAGGGAGGGAGGGAGGGAGGGAGGGAGGGAGGGAGAAAACCAGACTACGTATATGCATTCTGATAAAACAAACACTACTGAAAACTCCGATGATAATCGTCAGCAGGACTGTGCCTGCGAATAGCCTCTGCAGTCCAGCCTTGGGGACATGGCAAGACCAAGTCTCTTATTTAAAACAAACAAAAAAGAAAAACACACTATGACAGTTAATTTTGCTGAAGGGATTAAACCCAAAACTGACAATGTAACTGGATTTAGCTGCCAATCTGCAGAAAACACAAGGCAACAGTGGAACATGTTGAATTACACCAACAGAGCGCAAACTGAGAAACTAGGCATTAAATGGCTGGAGCAATACCTACAGATTAGGAGACTTAAAAGACAGTCTAAGAAAACTGCCAAAACCAAATTATTTAGTGTCTAGAAACGTACAGTGGGGTGAAAGAGCTATAAAGGAATGTAAAGCAGCAACTCCTAGGAAAATGAGAAGAGTGGTTACTCTGGAGGAAGGAAAGGGGTTGTGATGAGGATGGGACACATATAGGAGTTTCTAATTTCCTGCTGTGGTCCTGGATGGTGGCTACAGGGAATTCACTCTACAACACTCCATTAAGCTACTGCATTCATTTCTGAAGGCCACCAAAGCAAAATACGGCAGACTGGTGACTTCCACAACAGAAACTGGTTTTTCCCCAGTTCTTAAGGCTGGAAGTGCAAGACCAAGGTGTCAACAGGGTTGGTCTCTCCTGAGGTCTCTCTCTTTGGTTCACTAACAGCCACCTTCTCCCTGTGTCCTCATAGGACCTTTCCTCTGTGCATGTGCGTCCCCAGGGTCTCTTGCTCTCCTTTTAAGAAGCTGCCAGTCAGATTGCATTAAGGCCCCATCCTAACCACCTCATTTAACCCTAGTTACCTCTCTCTAAGTCCTAGCTCCAAACACAGTCACACTGGGAGTTACGGCCTCATGTATGAAGCCGCTGAGGGGACTTGAGGGATGCATAATTCATTCCATAAACGCTGTATATATTTGGTGTAGTTTTGTTTTATAAAACGGTGTGTGTGTGTGTGTGTGTGTGTGTGTGTGTGTGTGTGTGTGGAGTAGGCTTTACAGGTCTTCTCTGCTTTCCCCTGAAACTCTCCTGAAATAAAGGAACAAGCAGGTACAACCCCAGAAGGAAAGACGGAAGTGAGGATGTTAGATGAGAAGTTCCACTCATTGACAGCAGAGTGGGGGGCCAGAGTTAGCAACAATATTTGTGTATGTCGAAGTAGCGACAAGAGAACTCAAAAGATTCCCAAAACACAGAAATGCTAAGTACTCAATGTCATAGATAACCTAAATAACCCAACTACATCATTAAACATTCTATCCATGTAATAAAATATCACATGTACCTCATGAATATGTAAAATATCCTGTATCAATGTTTAAAACCCACTGCTGTTTTATCTTTTATGCATAAGCCATTTGTAGAAAACAAGGTGAAAGTAAATTTGATTGCATAAGTCCCCATCCCCCTGGAGTTCTGGAAACAAACTTCTTCTCTGATGCCATCCCATTTCTTAAATTGGAATATCTAACTATCTAGAAAAGAAGAGTTGGACAGAATGATCTCTTGAAATTTCCGGGACAGGTGCGGTAGATCACACCTGTAACCCCAGCACTTTGGGAGGCCAAGGTGGGTGGATCACCTAAGGTCAGGAGTTTGAGATCAGCCTGGCCAACATGGTGAAACCCCATCTCTACTTAAAAAAAAAAAAAAAAAATTTAGCTAGGCATGGTGTCAGGCGCCTATAATCGCAGCTACTCAGGAGGCAGAGGAAGAATTGCCTCTAATCAAGATCAAGCCACTGCATTCCAGCCTGGGTGACAGAGCGAGATTCCATCTCAAAAAAAAAAAAAAAAAAAAATTCCTTCCGACCTTGAAATCGGTTCTTTTTTTCTCCTCTTCTGTTTCCTCCAACCATAATAAAGATGTGTATTGTTCACTTTATTCATTGAATGCAATTTCATACTCTTTCCTTAACTTAAAATTATGTTAGAATTTTTCACACGAAAAAATAAACCCAAAGTAATATGCTTCATGTAAGACTCTTTTGTGAAGTACTAAAAATATGCCCCTTATACCACAGTCCCTAACCACTTCAGACTATTCTTCCAGTTCCTTGTTCTCCCTCTGCCCAGTGACGTACTCATTGGGTATTTGGAAAATAATAATTTTTTGTCTCAAACGTAGAGAATTTCTACTAGTGAAAGTATGCAACCTTGAAATTTAATTTTTCCTTCCCAATTTTAAACTGCGTTTATTGAACTTTAACCCAAGTTCACGTGTACTAATAAAAACAGAACCAAACATTGTGTATCTGCAAGGTGTATATGTAGAAAACACTTACATTTACTTTGGAAAAGTCTTTTGTAGGACTGCAGAAAACTGTGTAAGAGTGAAGAACATGAACATAATTTACTATAATTTTCTATTATTTGTTCTGTTGAGAATGACAAGATTTTAATCTTGGTTCATAATCAGTAAGAGCAGATGTAATATAATTCTATCCATGTGAACAAGATGTGACATTTCCCCAAAAGCTCATGCTGAACCACGCAGCACTGACAGCAGAAGCAACGACACAGTCTGGAAGCATGGTGGATTCAGATCAGATGAATCCAGGGTCTCAGTTCAGAAAATCCAGACCCACGATCTGTTTGACCACCTTTTTTATTTTCTTATTTTTATTACACTTTTAAGTTCTGGGGTACATGGGAATCCATGTACATGGGTACATGAGCTCATTCAGGATTGTTACATAGGTACACACACGTCATGGTGCTTTGCTGCACCCATCCCGTCATCTACATTAACTATTTCTCCTAATGTTATACCTCCCTAATCCCCTCACTGCCTGCTATCCCTCCCCTGGCTGCCCCACCCCCACCCCACCCCCAACAG